CGTCTGACTAACGCAGGGCCCCCCCCCACCGATGAATCGGCTGATAGCCGGGGTTTCCTGCATATGACAAACGCAAAAATCTGCATTTGACAAACGCAGAACCTCTCGCTACCGGCCGACACATTGGTGGGGGGTCCTGCGTTTAGCAAACGCAGGACCCCCGCCGATGTGTCGGCCACTAGCCGGAGATCCTGAGTTTGTCAAACGCAGAACCCCCGGCCGGTAGGGGACAATCGGGGGGGGCGGGGCGTCGCGCGTTTACCAAACGTGGTGGGTCCTGCGTTTGCCAAATGCAGGACCCCCCTCGCGTTTGGCCCGAGCACCCGCCGGGGGGCCTGCGTTTGGCAAACCCAGGACCCCCCCGCTATTGCCCCGGCAGTCGGCCGGGGGGTCCGGCGGTTGGCAAACGCAGGACCCCCGGCGGGTGCTCAGGGCAATCGCGGGGGGGGTCCTGCGTTTGGCAAACGCAGGACCCACCGGATGAAGACCTCCCGGGGCAATCGCGGGGGGTCCTGCGTTTGCCAAATGCAGGACCCCTCCCGCGATTGCCCCGAGCACTACACGACACGGGTCCTGCGTTTGACAAACGCAGGACACCCCAGCCGACTGCCAGGGCAATCGCGGGGGAGGGTCCTGCGTTTGCCAAACGCAGGCCCCCCGGCGGGTGCTCGGGCCAAACACGCGGGGGGTCCTACGTTTGGCAAACGCAGGACCCCCCGCGCGTTTGCCTCCAGCACCCGCTGGGGGTCCTGCGTTTGGCAAACCCAGGACCCCCCTGCTATTGCCCCGGCAGTCGGCCGGGGGGTCCTGCGTTTGGCAAACGCAGGACCCACCGGATGCAGACCTCCCGGGGCAATCGCGGGGGGTCCAAACGCAGGACCCCTCCCGCGATTGCCCCGAGCACTCCACGACACGGGTCCTGCGTTTGGCAAACGCAGGACACCCCGGCCGACTGCCAGGGCAATCGAGTGGGGGGTCCTGCGTTTGCCAAACGCAGGCCCCCCGGCGGGTGTTCGGGCCAAGCGCGCGGGGGGTCCTACGTTTGGCAAACGCACAACCCCCCGCGATTGCCTCGGGAGGTCCCCCTCGCGTTTGCCTCGGGCACCCGCTGGGGGTCCTGCGTTTGGCAAACGCAGGACCCCCCCGCGCGTTTCCTCGGGGCAGTCGCGCG